GATTCAATCTTTTCCCAAGGTCTTTCTAAGAAACAATGACAAATGCAGTGTGAAACAATGACAAATGCAGTTTTTTTAAAGGTAGAATATCAATAGAGCGTAATGTCATCATTTCCTCCCCGAGGTCCCTCATAGCATTTGCCCGATTCGTGCGGAGAACCGGTTATGAGAGTGCAGTTGGTCTGATTTCTTCACTTCAAAATAGCTAGAGTAAGCAGTTTGGTATACGGGGTTCAATTTGTTTTAGTTTTTGGAAATGGGTTCAACTAGAAAATCTTAAAAATAAATTTTAAACTTTCCGGCGCTGTACAGTGTCTACTTTCACTTCGGAAAGTGAACGAAGCAGTTAATGCGATCATCGCAGTTTGCACAGTTCTGATCAATATGGAGAAGCACCAATCAAAAAGTTCACTAAGCCATTCGCCCCACTCTGATAATGCCTTCCCACATCAATTTCGAGTGAAAACGAAAAATCGCCTTCGATAACGATTGCATAAATCGGGTATAGGGCAGGGTTTGAATTTGGCGTCGATTTCTTCCGTCTTGTCCTAACCCTGTTCGAGTTTGAAAATAGAGGCGTTAGTCTAACCCGTTTTCGCGATGGTTCAAGTCCACGCTTTTATCCTCCCAGAAGAATCTGGCACCAATTAGTAGTCCCGAGAGACGGACGATTGGCCAAGGCAAGTATATGTAGATCTGAGATTTGATACACGGACCGGGTGTGTGATAGCGCAGCACTTACCACAACCCCGATTATGCCCTCATTATTGAGATTTATGATCTTGAAAACTGAAGGGTTTGTAATTCACTGGGACCTATTAAGAGTCGGATTGCGTCTGGGTCAGACTCTTGTGAGTGCAGCTTGAATTGAAAGACTGGAAGACGGCTTTACTGAGCGAACGGCTGTAAGTTCGTTACTATTGGTTTAGCTGGGTAGCCATTTTTGGGCCCTTTGTCCTTCTTTCCTCTATATTTTCTTAATCTAAGGATGTGGGCGTATATGTGGACTGAAATTGAGAGTATGTGAAGGTTGACGGTAATTTCACCGATAGTACCTTTCCGCTACGGTTGACTGTAGTTATTGATTGAACACCCATTCTGTGCAGGTAATTGTACGACACTGAGTTCTTAGACCACAGGTTATCGTCTCCATTCCGCTTCATGGTACATTTGCAAGGGTTTCAGGTAATGAACTATGTAAGAAGGAATACCGTAGTGTCAAGAGGCGCTGCCACCGTAAAAACAGTTAAGGGTTCAAATTCCGTTCAAGACAAGCTATTCGTGTCTTCAAGAAGCTGTACAGATTAGGGCTGAAAGACCGTAAAGGAACCACGGAGGGCATTTGAATACTCGGAATAGAGCTCTTTCAGGATGTGGATCCTTCAAAGATTTGTTCGCCCCCAGCTTAGCACAAGTTGCTCCTTGGAAACCGATTATGGGCCATCACCTCTACTCTAGAGTTCTTATCAAACTAAGCCATCAATTCCGCTCGAGCTACTTCGGCTATTCTCAAATGATGACGTGGGAGACCAAAACCCGAGCAAATAATCTGGTTTACTCACCAAAATCGATAAGTACTTCAGTTGTGGCATAAAGTAAACTGAGGGTGAGTCAGACCCCCACAAATCGCTTTTGACATCATGTCGAAAAGGGCGGAAAGCAATCAATAAGAACCCACCATCGTGTTTTAAGCCGAGACCCAGTTCAGATCCATCTGCAGTCGTTGATTCTCGGCTGGCTGTCCTCCTAGACCGACAGCATTTCAGGTTGGTCCATAATGACGAGAGACGGTTACTCATGTTTTGATGCGCATAGTGCTACATATGATGGGAAATGCAAGTCCAATGAATATCAACAACTCCCGAAGGGGCGTGGTGTAATGGTGGTGTGGGTGTGTTCGTTTGAAGGTGGTCTTGTCTAGTTAAAGGTGAACAACATGAATAAGCAATGAGAATGACTATAGTGAAGTTATTGAATGACTACAAAACCTATTACTGGGGGATCGGTTCCCGCCTGAATCAACACGTGTTCCCATTCATTTATAATCCCTGAGTGAGCCTATTGTCATGTGAGTATGTATGTAGGAAGCTGAGCCAGGACCGTTCCACAAAAGTTCATATTTACCCGTATAAAGCTCATTGCATTCTGCTTTGCCGTTTTGAATATGTGTATATTTTTGACAGATCAGCAAACTAACAAGCGGTAAACAAACAAACCAACAAGTTTACTGCTTGTGTTTGATTGAATAAATCGATTAGTAAGCAATCGATACTACTATCCATGAAATGGACAGTAGCAGTTAGCGATGTCTCACAGAGGACCAGATCCTATTATGGGAATCTCGCAATCTTTGGACCGGTTTCTCCACTTCAAGTGGTCGAAAACCGTAATGTTGGCTGGAAATTGCACCCAATGCCCATATTACACGCACAATCTTCCCATGCACTGAACTTTTTCAAAAATGTTCCGGGGCCGACCCCTGGGTATGAGGGTTGCCTAGGACGAAAAGTTGACCGTATAACTTGCTGGGATTTCAAATTAAATTCAAATGAATTGGCATGTTTCAAGGAAAGTCATTCTCTCCTTGAACGTCGGTGAACTTATCAGCTCTCCACAACTCCTGCGATTTTTAAAGGGGTTGAAGAGTGCTCAAAGGCCCATTACGCAAGTGGAGCCATAGTGAAGCATGGAAATGGAAGTGCTGTGAAAGTCAATGAATCCAGAAAGACCAAAGGAATTAGTTTGAAAAAGGATCGGACTCGATTTCCGTTAAACATAGAAATATAAGAAAATCGCGAAGAACTGAGTGAACGGATGAGCCATTGTTTATTTACGCTACATCATTCCAGTGATGCCATCTGTTCCTTCCGGTTGAGACTACTTTCACTACTGTTACTCTTTACTTTTTATGTGGTATCATAACTTGTCAGGCTTAACTGCATGCCTTTATTGACCTCTAGTAAACCAACCCCGAAGCGGTGATACCGAGATTAACGACCCTATTTTGCCATGCCTAATAAGCCGCTGGAAAGCTGACTCCTGCAGCACTCAAGTAATCTTTCCGTAAATTATTCTGCAAAAAGGTCTCATTATCCGAATTTCTATGAAACTCGTCATGAGCACTGTTTAATTTGGTTTGCCTGGACTCTTCACGATGAAGGTACCCAAGACCTATCGGTGTCTCAGGTTTTATAGTGGAACCTTGGCCGAGATGTTATTTCTTTTATTCGGCTAACAGTTAGGCCTTGTCGCCTTAGTCAGAGCTTGGAGGCCGAAAATATTCATGCACATCAAACGACACTTCAGACTTTTACACTGTTGAAGCTTATTCCCTAGAGATATCTAAAAAGATCAAACTTTATTGGCCCAAAGACTCGGCCCAGTTACCCTAGCACCTGAGTTCGAAGAAATCGAAAACAATCTGTGACAATCCGAGCAAACGTTTTCGCAGCCTACCCATTTAGAAGCCTACATGGCCTGCACCACCCAAAGGAAGGTCTTCTTGAAATACTCGACACCCCACACCAGCCGATAGTTGGACCAGTGTCAACATGTCTTGTGGAAAGGCTTGGCTCTTTCATAGGGTCCTAGCTCCTTCCCTCTGAAGATGATCCGAGGGCCAGGATGATTGGACCCGTTTATAAAGTCCGGTTGAATAATTCATGAGTTCTATCCGAACGCCAGAAATAACTAGCTCAAATGAGTTTTTATAGTTCTNACCCCCAAATGAAAGCGCAATAAATCATGGAAATTCACCTTTACCGCTTACATCGACATGCCCTTTTCAGGTGTTTTTAATTCTGCTTGTGAATCAGCTAATTCATTTGATTGAATTCGTTTAACTTTCTATTCAAATATTCCTCTGATTTTTTCATTCTGCGAATTGAAACTAAATCATGCTCTTTTTTAATGATTCTAAAAGGATGTCATTATGCCATGAGTAGCCTGAGGAAGGATGGAAAAAGGGAAAGGGAAACCTCACCCACAGACCGAGTTACAGTTATTACATGTGTGTTAGCATGTAATAAATTTGAATTTGAATTTGAGTAGCAACTCGTTTCCTCGTCTGCCCCATTGGCTTCGAGAAGAGCGTTTTAATCGTGGATGCATGTGAAGTCCTTGGACAGCACTTCTCCGAAACATTGCTTACGCCACTTTTGTTTCCTCCTCCATTTCATGCTTTAACTCGTCCTATTGGTATGCTTTAACTCGTCCTATTAGTTCACTAAACATTGCTAAAATGAACAAAAACATCCCAGCCTGTACCATAGCAACTATGGCAACCCATATTACCCATAAATCTTCAACCTTTTGATTAGTTAACCAGAAAAGGAACTCGAAGAGATGAGGGAACACGGATCCGTCTGATCCAACGACTCTCATTTTTAGTTACTAACGAAAAGATATTCAAAATATTGGACTCAAACTGAGAAAACCTAGAAAAACTGAGGTTCTTTCACCTCCGATGTACACAAATATCTATACATTAAAATATCAACAAACCTTAGGCCTCATCTGAAACCCTTTGACCTGAAGATTCATCATACCGTTTTATATTTAAATATACTACCACCTAATTTTTTTTCAAAAAAGTCTACATTCATTTCGAATTAAGCTCTTCCTTTAGAATACGAGAAACAGATATAACAGTCGGACTAAGCGGACCTAAGCTATTGATACAGCAAAAATGTCTCTAGCAGATTCTCGATAATCATGGTTTTATATGATACATGAATAAACCTAGCAATCCAAAAAAATGACTAAAAAATCAGGCACCTTTGTCAAAACCAGATTTCGCTGATAACTGCGATGATGATCCAGCATATCCCATGGTAAAAACATAGGGCTGCGCTTTTGGCTTCCGAAATGGCAACGATCGGGAACGTGATGTAGGAATATTCGGTTTAAAGCGATCAATAACGGTATATTGAATAGGATAGTATGGTTGTTGAGGTGTTTGACGATTGAGTGGTGGATGATATTCACAGTATAGACGAGGTTTAACCGGACGCATTCTCTCTTGGTGTAGGTTTCGGTGGGAAGACTGCTTTCCAGATTCGTTTCAATAGTCCCTCACGTCCCAAACCGAAATGTCGTCTGTTCTCTTCAGTATTGGCTTCCTGAAAAAAAGACTACTATAATGGACAACTTTTAAGGAAAAATTTCGTTAATCAAGAGAGATAGAAGCGGATTTCATCGGAACGACAAAGTGTTGTCTGGAGTAAAACGCCCACAAACAGTAGATCAGTAAAAGGCGTCTACAGTAAGATTGGGTATGTTTTTCTAGGGAAGAATAGGTAAACACTCAAACAGGTGTGAAGAGAACGATGGGTAGGATTAAGTATGGGCTAGATATCTATTCTTCTTGGCCAACCTTAAGCAAGTGTTTAGACACCGTGATTACCACCCCAAACATGCCATTTCAGCCAGCTGGATATTACCGCAATAAACAACGAAAACCTATAATTTAGGAAAAACAGGTCCAGAGAAAAATCTCACTCTCAGCCATCGATACTCTCCATATTCTTCTATTGTTATGAGCTCTCATTGTTTGAGACTGACGAATTTTAAGCTTTTCAAGCCATGCACTGATCACAATTACAGATAAAACTGCTAGATGAGAATTCGATTGCTCAAAAACCTACATTTCAGCTAAAAATAAATTCAATTTCCACAAGGAAACATTTTTTGGGCAGCCGACTAGGTCTGTTAGCTTCGACCCTCCTCATCAATGGATAGCTCCATTCCGAAGAGTAACGGAAAGTAAGCAATGGGGACCAATATGGGCCATAACAACTACAACAAACCTGCTCAGTGTTAGAACAATCTTTGGAGAAGAATTGAGGAGGTGTGTACAACCTAATTCCAGGGTTTTTTGATTAAGGCTACTTCAGTCTGGATGTATTCAGGTGTATAGAAAATACATTTACAACTAACGAGCTCGAGCGTCAAAAAAATTGAAAATCATCACTTTTACAAAAGCATGAAAACATGGAAAGGAAAAGCCTACATATATCAATCAACGAATGCTAAATATTAGGAAGAGCTTGAAAGATGTTTCGGGAAACTCGTTAGAAATACCATTCATAATGCTTTCGTAGTAACTTCGTTTCCTAGCAATATAGTCATTCTTCTGAGCATATATGGAATCAGCAAAAACTTCGAAGATCAGCTTCATCGTAGGACGCGTCTGAGCTTCATGTGTTTCCAACATTACAATTTTTAATCAATTCTTAATCCCTGAAGCCCCTAAAGCAATTTCTCTGATGGATCTCCCAAGTGCCTGAGAATCCGGTGGAAGTAATACTTATCAGAAGAACTTTGAATTATCGAGAAATGTCGACAATTGTGGATTAGCATCGTGGCATATAGCAAAAAGGTAACAAAGTTGGATTAAAGCGTTACATGGTAATGTTAAGGCTTTCTTGACAATTCATAAGATTATGCGCATGAGAAAAACAACCATGAGTAATTGGCGACTTGAATCCTGCCTGTTCGATTACTAGCAAAGCAGCTACATGGCAATGACAATAGAATTATTCTCACTTTCATGACTTTAATGGCATCCTAATATCTACGAAGTATTAGAAAGGAAGTAAAAACACAATATCATAAATCCTAGCCCTGGATGCTTTGTTAAAAGGCTTACGAGTAGGAGAGCTGATCAACGACAGTAATGGAGCCCAGTTTCGAACAAAGTGTAAAGCTTGCCGGTTGCTTGGCAATGGCAAAACGGCCAGCGAGAAAAAATAAAAGTTGGAAGTAATAGAGCAAAATCAAAAAGTATACAATAATAATTAACAAAATGAAATAAAACCAAAATATGAGAAGATATCATATTTCAACCGGAAGATTAAGAAGAATAGCGTCTATCGGAGAACAAATTATCAAAAGCTGTATTAACTAAGCTCACAAGCAAATAGTTCAGGTCACAATCTAAACGTAGCTGGAGTTTGGAAATTCAAAAGTAGGTTTGGAAAACATTATTCATACAGAGAAAAATTTTCCCACTTATCCGTTGAAATGCGAGCAATTTAGGAGCAAACTTCTTCTCATTCAGATTAATAGGAGTACCCTTTAAACGTCCAGCTAGCCGAAGTCTGTTCATGAAAAGTCACTCAAATACATAGATTTTCTTCACAACGGAAAAAAAGTTGGGCCATAGGTCAGAGTAACCACGTCAAAATACCTGCAACTGTTGCAAATTGAGTCCGAAAACGCCAGATTTGTACTGATGTGGATAGAGTTTCGCTGTGGTATTGGAACTTATTTGCTCCAGAGCTGCAACAATTATGCAACATTGGATATGTCCACACCAGAAGCTGTAATGGGCATGGTGAGAGACAGCGGACAGCATTTGGACGGCAGGAAATGAGGTACATGGACGTAGTATTTTTTCGGGCGTGAGCCACTGTTACCAAGGGTTACCTACACATCAATGCCAACTAGTAGAGGTAGTGCATCCACTGGTAATAACGACGTAGAGATCTCTTCGCCCACATAAAGATGAGCTTCAAAGCTGAAGGGTGTTTGAGTGCAGTTGTAGTGCAGTTAGTTTCTCCTCGAAACGATTAAGTTAATTAGGCCCAATTCATAGTAATTACTATTAAATCTATCGGAATTCTCGCTAATGACAACATTTTAAAGGCCGGTTGAAACTAAATGATCTCTTTTACTTCCAGCTTACTATGACGGAATTAGTACTTTCCTACTGAACGCGAAAAACTCATTTCTGGAACTAGAAGGTTTTCAAAAGAATTCATGTGAACAACAGTTTAGCCAATTTAATTAAATAGCCCCCGCTTTCTCGGGCTTCCAGAAATTCCCTTATTTCTTCGTGATCAACATGATAACATCAAATTTATGGTCTCATTAACAGATTTCAAGGCTACAAAAGGTAGGACATCATTAAAACATTGATAAGCAGACCATATGAGGTGAAATAATCCCAACAATGAGTATAGGGTATCGGATAGAGGTTAACGATATCAGTATTTTGCCGAAAAAGGTTATAGGACGTTGGGGGTGAAAAGAAAACGTAAGGTAACTCCACCATAACACCAACTGCTGTCTCTCTTGACCAGTCGCTGTCTCACTTAAAATGAATTTGAACACAGTTACAAAAGGACGGCTCCCACAGATCAAAGCCATTATTCTTACCTTGATACCTTCTCTCACAAAGTCCCATATCCATGCGAGTAGGTTTGGTATTGAAATGCTTTTCTATTTCATTGTCAAGAAACACTGCCAGATCTCTGGAAATAGAGTTATGCTCTTCAGTATTTGGCACGACTAACTGCATGATTACACCTACCTCTCTGGACTTTTGAACTCATCCTTAGGCCATTTCGTGATCAACCGTACATATTGTTTGTAGAGGTATTTAGACATGAGAACCCTGGGCAAGAAAAAGAAAATTTGGAAAAAAGCATAAAAGGGTAAAAACAAGTGCACAATATAAATTATGGTTTGAGAGACCTGGGAAAAAATATACAAGCCATAATTCGTAGCTTTTTTCAATCTTAAGGGAACAATGTCATCGAAACCATAACAAGAAAATGAACAATGATGTGGAACCTAAATAATTCCATCATTTAACAACATTTCAAAGAAAAAATTATCACAAGTTGGAATGTAACAAATAAAAATTTCATGAAACTTATATACACCGACGAGTTGCCTGAGGAAAGAAACAAAGAGTTTGTCAACGTCTCAAGTGAATATTCACGAAAACCAATCGTACATGGAGAACACCTGATAAAGCCATGAAAAACGCCGAGAAAGCGCTCAGCAACTAAGGCGGAGTGAAAATTTTAGTGGACACATGTATTCAATGGCCAATAAATCACTCTACTACGGTGAGCTTTTTAAATATGCTTTTTGAAAAACAGAAAGGAGAGTCGTAGAGATATAGAATAGACCAAAACCAGGTATATCGAATAGAGAACCCATTGAGACATACAGTGGTGACCAACAAGGTTACATTTTCGCCAGAGGACTGGTTTCTACTAAGCGATCTCGAATAAAGTGAATATACAAATTAAGGGAAACTAAGAGAAGCAATATGGAAGCTTAGCTAAGAGCTGCCTTTAAAAAGAAATGTTTTGATTCTACTGAACCACACAGCTCATCGTGAGACTACAATAAGTTTTCGATTGCTCACAAATCAGCACATCACTGCAGGATCTACCCGGAGTCAATTGGCACAGCAGAAAGCCCACTGACGTACGAACATTTTTTGCATTTCCTTCAAGTCACTTGAGAGCGAATAGGCCGGTTTTGCTCCAAACTACTCTGGCTCATCATCGCTATCCAGCTGTGGAGGCTCCTCAACCTTCAATGTAGCCATACGACCTTCAAGCTCGATCTCTTCCAAATCTAGTCCCACATCTGATTTGTGAATCTGAAACCAAGACTCAAATTTTTTTGACGTTCAAATCTCCAACAGCACCCTCACCCTTACGGGTTCTCAACCTCTTTCCACCTCCGCAAGCCCTCGCCTTTCAAAGATGATTGACTGGCCCACTCAAGCTGCCCCACACATCTTGGCCAGCAGACTCATTCCCATTTAGTAGAGTGAGAAATTATAGCTCTTCAGAGAAAAAGTAACAAAAACGAACTTCAACATCAGCAACGCTTTTTTGTAGCCATCTCAGCACAGCTTCGTCAACAGATTGTATCCACAGGCAGTAATCCGTTATAAATAGGTCATTGAAAAGATAGCGAAATTCTCCAGAACCGATTAGAATACCGTGCACTTGGCACAGAATATGTAATAGTGCGGTTCTACCTGCAAATTATCACTCATTTCAAAATGGTCGGGTACTCGAGGATAGAAAGTGCCAGCAATGGTTTTTAAAGCAATGGGGACTCAGCTTCATACATTATTGTTCTTTTCAAAGTCCCATAAATACCACTAGACATACATATCTCAACTCAACGCAGACACATCAGCCATCTGTCAAGGCATCACTTACAGTACCTCTCCCTCCAAAAATTATATGGGACTTGCCACACATGAGTGAATCACCATTTGAAGTTTAAACTTCACGCAAGTGGTCTTGCTCAGCCAACGGCTCTTGTTTTGTGATCAACCTTCACGACATTCCTTTGATTCTTCTTCTACGTGGGAAAAAGTGAGCACTAACGAGCGCCATGAAGAGAAAGGCGAACTACAGCGAAGTGTGTGAAATTCTGAGAATAAACGCTCAAAAACCATATCAATTAGAAGCTAGACATATGTACTTTGCAAAAAGATTGGTATTAGGGCGACAAGCAATATTTAAAAGAACGCAAGCGACGCTAGTTGATATTAAGCTCAATTCTAGACTCCAAAAACAAAGAAAGAGTCTTAAGACTCGGAAACGGGAAGAGACATAAGCAGGCGTAAAAGGGATCAGAGATGTCAATGATGAAACACTTCCCAAGGATGACAGCAAAAAAAAAACTAGAAAATGCTGTTCGCACTCACCTCTACTTATCACGAGTTTTGTGTCGTCAACAACTTTCGACGATAAATCCCAGCTCCTATATAAAGGATAGCAAAGCGATCTCCGTACGCCACCAACGAAAGCCTGCGAGAAAATCTGGACAATAACCCAAAATCATTTCAAATGAAAATACAATTCTACCTCTTTAGCACTTTTCCATTGACAGAGGAATGCGAGGCTAGGTGACACCTTCGTGATGTTCCACCCGGTTTCACAGCAGGTTTCCCACTCATTAATTCGTGAATCGTAAACAAAAGCGAACACTATGTCTATTAAGGAAAGAGAGACAAGTCGCTGTTCTTGTATGGATAGCCTGAACAAAGATGAGCAAGAGTAAAGATAAGTTTTACACCGCTTCCATAGAACACGAAATAATCTTTCCTAGTGTCCCTAGGGAAGAAAACCAGACATGACTTGATAAACGCCATTTGAGTTGATTTTTCTACATTAACATATACTCTGAGAGGGGGATCAGATCAGCTAATGCTTATTCACCCAGAACTATGGATAGTTTGCTCAAGAAAAACGGGAACAATGAGAGAAACACCGAGGGATAAGGAAGGATGGATATAGGCTCCAAAGAATGAGCATAAAGGAGTCCACTATTCTAAAAAAAAAAGCTGCCTGGAATAAGGGAGAAATGAAGAAAAATTGAAAAGCATATCCTACTCGATGCTACTAGTCCCTTTTGAGCACGCTGTGCGTTTGATTTGGTCAGTAATCGTAGACCCATTTCCCAGACATGACGATGTTCCGATCAGTTTGGGCGAAATAGATATTTGGATGAATGAGAATAGAGGGTTTTAATGTTGATGATGTGTCACTTCGAACGTACATTGGCAAACGTTTTCTCGGGAAATCTTTCAGACGTTGCCTATCATCCGCGTCAACCTCCAACTTCAGGCCAAAATCTAGCATAATTGCCCGCTGGAGTGCATCTTCAGGATCCAACAAATCTAACCTCAACAAGAGAAGCTTTTCAGATTCACCGACTTCGTTTGGTCTTGAAAAAATCCTGCAATGGAAAACTCACAAATAGCGTTCAGCATCAAAAGCTTTTGAATCTCGCTCAGCGCATTGTGCACTCCTTTCATGGATGGGAGAATTTTCTGGATCGTCTACTTCAACTAATTTGCCGATTTCGTTGCTGAGTTGACCTTAAAAGGAATCTATCGAAATACGTGTACTACAAAGGACCAACAGTCACCAATCACTACTCTGCAACTTTGAAGTGGTAGAAACAAAGATATTAAGTTGATGCATAAATTTTGCGGGTTTTTCGAGCAAATTCTTCTTGGAGAAACGATAAGAATAATTAGCAAAGACATGTTCAAATTATTGCTTCGGAACATATCCAACATCTACGTCAAGCACTGCTTCCCATTTGCTAGGCGGTCGGATTCCACAAGCGAAGAAGTTTCGANCAACGGGCGATCAACGTGTTAAGTCATAGGAGTATCTGTTGGTGAATAGGGCGACCGCAGAAGCAGATTCCATCCCTTGATCGGCTTTAGTTGACTGTTTCATGGAGAAGTTCGTTGAGATCACGTTATGTGTGGGCCGCCGTCCAACATTTCTCCAAGTGATAGAGCATAATTTGGCGTATATGAAGATGACTTTCAAGACATATTTCTGTTAAGGAAAGCGAGAAGATTATTTCTACAAAAGTCCTGAGTTCAAAAGTTCACTTTTATCAAGAGAAAAGAAGCCGCGAAAAAATCCGCAATAATTAGCATCAACCTAATATTAGCTGCTATCGCAGCAAGACGGATAGGACCGGTTAGGAGAAACGAACAGGGACATAATCCCCTAGATGCCTCCAGCAGACATTTCTGCACAACAAATCTTGAATGGAGGAGAGTAATTTTTGTTTGGCATGAGAAATCCTTAACAAGCTTCGAAACCTCACCAAGTATTCCTTTGCGACGCTGAGCAAAGCCGTAACCGTAGTCACCTTTAGAGTTATCGCTACAGCCGGCTTGAATGTCTGTCACCTTCTGTTCAACAAAATATTCGCTATCTTGAAATTCATCTGGAACTGAGATTTGCCTTAATGCCAGGATAAAAAGAGAAGAATAAATTGACTCTCTCATTTTCTTTGTCATATTGGAGCGTACCTTCTTCATCATCATCGGTGTCGCGTAATTCTTCCACCAGTTGCTGAGCACTTAGTTTCTTTTGGGGATTCAAAAGCTCAGAGATCATATCTAACCCAGGAAAATTTTCGCCGACATTTTTCTTGGGTACACGAACAGTGAATTCACCTTAATGGAATCTGACTGTGACCAAATAACCGACGAAGTAACAAAAAATATTTTAGGAAAGAATTTAGAACGTCACAAGGTGGCTCTCAGAGCAGAGCCATGCCTATAGCGGAAGGCCTTCAAATCACATTGTTTAAGTGAGTGCTTTCACTCAAAAAAAANAAAAAAAAATGAAATCCTATGCAGGAGGCTTTTGTACAACGATAAAAATAAGGATCAAGGGCTTAAACAAAGATCTACCACATTTGAAAATTTGTACAGAATGAACTGCCTCAAAAAACTCACCCAAAGACGAGTTGTACTTGGCTGTTCCGGAGTTATCGTCTACAACCTCTCTTGGAAGATGCACCCTATAACACAGACAAGAAAATAAAGGAGGGAAGGAACACAAACAAAAATGAATCTCGAATAACCAGTTCTCACCTGAGGTAATAAGGCGGTGCAGAGAACATGAAAATATCGTCACCATATTCGATTTCTGTGTCGGCAATCTTTGCATACGGTGCACGGATGATGAAAATTAGCCATTTATCATCCTGCACAATACTGAACGAGGGGGTAATCATGCTGCAACGATGTTCTAATGTTACAAGCACAGAAAAAAGAAACAAAAGGCAAACAACAACGAAGCTAAATAGGTGATGTAGACTTCTAGAAATAGAATAAATAAGATGTATTGGACTGTACAAATATTTTATTTGAATAAAAAAACGAGTAGAAAGAAACAAGTTGTGGTCGTGAGCAGATTATTGAGCCTTGGACAAGGAAAGAATAGTATCCTGCCATTTCCGCCGCTCAGATTCTATATAGCTACTGCAGATACCCAATGAGAAGGATTCGTTCGATAACTGAAAATGTGACTTTGGGAGACAAACTAACAGTGCACCCAAATTCATGTCGTAACAGACCTTTAGTTCGTGCTTAACAAATTCAATGACATACATTCCGCAATCGTGACTGTTACGCTGCTGAGGGCAATCGACAATCACAAAAGACACTTCTTTGGTACCAAGGACAGGTTTGATTATATTTACAAGCTGAAGTTAAAGAAAATTACGCATTAAAATGTATGCAAGATGCAATTGAATAGCACCTGTTTCGCAACAGCTTCTTTTGCTGGTCGCATGCTGTCATAATATTCAAAACGTGCACTTCCTCGATCAAAAACAAGTAACGACCAGTGATTTCCACCAACAATAGTTGGGTCGTCACGATCGTTTAGTATGAAGAGAACCTGAGAGGAACGACAATGCTCATTTCAAAAAAAAAAAGACTCAAAAAAAAGCATCAAGAAATGTTAGAATTAGTTTTATTTTGGGCATCCAATCAAAATTTACGGCAATCAACTATTAACGCCAGCAAAAATCCCGACTCAACTTCCGACTATAAAATCAGCAATTTAACAGCTTGGAAAAGGAGCCCACCTTCTCCCTTTTGAAAAATTCTAACGAGAAGAAAACTTCTCGAACAATCTCCATATCACCGGAATGTCTGATAAGTTCACACGACGCTGCACTCACTATAGCCACCTGAACAGATGTCATTCTCCAGTGTTCACCAAAGAAATCTTAGAAGAAAGAAAGAAGGAATCACTGAAGAAATGATGAGAACACTCACTTGTTCTTTTACGTCCTGTGACGCCTTCGATAAGAGATATTCGCTAGCGAAAGATATAATGTTGTCATTAAGCCACATTCCAGGGTTTAATGTATACAAATCGGAATTGTATAAAACAACGTCGCCATAGGATAAAATCTTGGCGTCCTTCTCGGAGTCCGTGGACCCACGGAATAAGCTAGAGCACATCTGGAGCAAAATAAATAGATTAAATAAACGAATAATAATAGTATTCTGCAAAGTTATACGGCATCGTGAATATTTTGAAACACTTGCAGAGGGAACGCCTATTCAGGTATTTCAATCACCAGCAGCAGAATTTCTACTTTTATGGTAAGCAAACTGATATCTCTGAATTGAAGGGGTAGCATTAAAACAATAAGCGATTGAGACTTAATCACTTCCGAGTCTAAAACCATAGTATATCCAGCTTGATTGCTTTCAGACAGATGAACTCTACCAAAAGGCAGGAAAGGTGAGGATTCAAAAAGTGAAAAATATTGGATCACAACAAGACTTGGGGTAATGTGGCTAGGAAGCAATGTCCGTCACAACTGCTCAAATTTCATGTAAATATCTGAGGTGGTAATGTCACAGATAGGCACCGATTTAATTCGAAAACATTAACAGAGAGATCTAATTATAAGCATGCATGAATGACATAAATTCAAAAGCCCGAGATGAGATGCGATTCAGAAATAGAGCTTACAGTACACCGTACGAATCACTCATTACTCGAGTCCCACGACGTACGAACCACTCATTACTCGAATCCATCGACTATCTTCTAGTCACAATCCACTGTTTTCCATGACTATCTGCTTCGGTATATGAAATGTCGCAAATCCATGGTTTGTCTGTGGAACCATATCTTAACAGGGATCACAGAATGACATAACGAACGTCCGAAAGAGTCCATTGAGGAATGTGTCAAAAATATTATCCCATAGACCTACTTTGCAACGGGATAATCGTACGGCAGATTCACTCGCTCAGGGTCCGTTATGAGTACGCCAAGTTCATATGAACGCACCATCAGTTGCGTTTTGTTTTTCTACAAACTTATTCTTAGCCTTGGCTCGATAATGTTAACTCAAAGTTCCTAGCGAACAAGTTTGACGTGAAATAACTAAGCCGTATCACTGATACGATTGGACGGCTTACTGAACAAGAGATATAGTGTTAGTTATAGTATAATATACCTGAAGATCACCCCATGCTGCTTTTGAAAGGTTAGCACTGGTAACAAGGATCCATTGCGGTACACCATCCACAATATCAGTATAAGTCTGAAAGGAACCAGAAAAAATAACAATAAGCCTGAGAAGGGAAGATAATTAGTTCTTAACCTTGACGTGGGGCATCGCGCTACTGCGTCCTTTGGCTGCACTTCGCCATTTACACATTAACTCTCTCAACCACGGCTGTCGTTTCGCTGTTGCATCCTGCCTAGAAGACATTCCGAAAATCTGTTACGACTTGAAGCGCTTACTCAACGTACCTGATATGGTAAAGAGTCCCCAGCGTTGTACCCTTCCAATGAGTTTCTTACATCTTCTACACATGGATAGATGAGGAAAAGCCGTGATGAATCTGAAAAGAAAAAATACGAAGAAACCATGACGTAGGAACAGAAAAAACACTTCTTACGAGATTCACGCCCTCCTTGAAGAGATCGTAAAAACTGTGAGAAGAGCCATGCCTCCTTTTTATCGCCAAGAGACCCTATAGAGCTGCACTGGGCAAGGAGAAGACGCCGACTGTCGCTGTCCGGAACAGGCTGATCTCGGAGTAGGCGAGCAAGCGATGGGTGGCCAAACTAGCAAAACGGAATTATTATGTAATCGGGTATCCATAAAATGACATACAAGTTTGGAAAATAAAACCTATGAGCTTACCTTGGTTAACTTATCATGTTGATGATAACCGGGAACAGAAAACACTAGGCGATCAGAAACACCACTAAAATCGCTATTACGAATTCGATCAATCCAAAAGCTGATATCCGGTAAACGATATTCTTCGAGGTACGCACACAAATCGTTGGCAAATACGCTTTCGTTTGTTGAACTAAAAATTTTTAAATTGTTTTGGATAATGAAGATAGCTCTCATTCAGAAAACCATCCTTTCTCATTCCTCCAATCAGTACAGTGCGGAGATATTCCGTCATTACTTCTAGAAAGTTTTCTGTACGGCATATCACTGAGCGGAGGTCGCTCTCAAGCGCGGAGAAGCTCAAATAACGGTCGAGCAAGAGCATCCAGACTTATAAGCTGTTAACGAAATCCAACGAATTCATGGCACTTCTTGGGTTTTATCAACAGAGTACAGACTCATTCGAAGCATAAGAAATAGAAACAAAACTTCATTGATACCTTGCTGCGAGAGCTGTCCCACAAGCGTAGTAGAAACACTGCGTTTTTTCCTGCCAGTCACCTGCAATGGTGGAACATTTCCACCTCATACACACGAAAGAAAGGCACATTAGAGGTACCTTCGATGAGGTTGGCTGTTGATACAATCACATGCAGTTTATCCTCACAGTCAAATATGGATAATTTCGTATGATGTGTCCCAAATGGGATAGGTAACGGAGCACCCAACACGGAGACTTGTTTCAAGTTCAGAGAGGACACGTCCTAAAGCATGTAATTATAATAACGATCTCAACACAGTCTCAACACTTACCCTCAACAAAGATCTTTTGTCTGTCCCCATCTTTTCACCGACAACGCACTGGATCGGGGAATCTCTGCATGGTACTGGGTATTGCCTGAATCACGAAAGGAATTCCACAGTGAAACAAGTGATTAACAAGACACACATACTGTATAAGCCACTCGAGATCAATCATAAAATTGAAGTGAATGGAGAGCTGTGGGCGAATGATTTGAAGAATATCGCTGAGATGATAAGTGCCGACGTTGAACTCTCTTGACAACCCAGCGACCTGAACAAATAAAATCTCAATTCTTCTTTCTGAATGCACTACCATGATTACCTTTGTAAGGTACATTCTGCCACTAAGAAGTCCACACGGCGAATTCCCACCTTTGCTGTGATCCCCATGGCCTTTCATATTCATCTACAATTCGATGTCAAGGTAATAAAGCTGAATGCAAGCAACAAGAAGAAATGGAGTATCCCACAACGCACTTGATAGGAACGCCTGTACATAATTCATTCTACAAAAACAAATTCAACAATTTCATATCAACACACACATCACAGAAGAGCGTAATTCATCCGGTCATATCTCTCTTTCGTCCTCGTAGTCGAATCTCATCCAATTTTCTTAATGAACAAAACTAGGTGAAATGTTTATGTGCAATGTACAGACCCAGATGAACAACTGACTTGATCACTGCAGCTCCCTGTTTCTCATTAACGCTTTTGTAGCCCTCCAGAACACTGTCAAACATCTTCTCAGAGTCTATATGAGTGCTGATCATTGCTCTTTCCAGAACATAAAGATCCACTCCTTTGTCTTCCGCTAACACCTGAACAGGCAAAAAAGGGAAATTCCGCTATGGGCAGGAAAAGGATGCTCGACAAGGAATTATGCGTCGAACGCTTGAAAGCAAAGAGATGGAAATTGATCTGCGAAAGGTCGTGCCAGATAGTGCCTTAACTACGGGATTCCCTACAGCACCTTGCTCTAACCGATCGTGCCTCCGTTATAAAGATTACGGTAACATAGCATAGTCATAGTTCCTTACGTGTTTATCAACAACGGAACACATAACAAACCTTTCCAAGAGCACATAATCCAAAATCGATAAAATAAGGTCGCTTTGGATCACCATCTTTCAGTATGATGTTAGATGTCGTAAGATCACCATGAACCAAATTACTGAAATGCATTTTGCCTATGGCTTCACCAATGATTTTTCCAAGCTGCAGCGTTTCTGCCTAAATGACTAGGCCTTGAAGACTGAAAGACGGAGAAGAAATACTGGACTACGATAAAAAGTCACCACAAATTTATCCGAACCATTCTCTTCTTCTCGTTTTGATTCAATCCATGAATTTGCTGTAGGGCCTTCAATTCGCTCCATTATTATCCGATTATTGTCGCTATCAATGAAAAACACAGCAGGTGCCCCGACTCCCAGCTGCAATGCACGTCATTGCATTGTCAGAGCGAGAGTAGTCCAATAATTTTAGCTCTTTACAGGACCACACTGAAGTATGAGCAACGTTCAAAGGGATCAAGTAACTAGCGATATCCTCTGAACGAAGCCATTTCTTAAGGCTTATCATTGCCTCGGCGTATAAGAGAAATACTGTGGAACCAGATGGAAAATTCTTATGATAACGAAAAATCGTATAACTGGACAACTGTTAAATTCGATAAAAGAAATTGAGTGAAGAAGGATAACCTCACTAGAGCGGATGATAAGTACAAGTTAATACAAAGTACATTTTCTCACATTACATTGAAATTTCTTCACCTCATGTGCCCTGACTAATCCTTTGAGTTCGTTGCGCATTCTTGCTTTGTTCAACGTTCGGTCGAGGTCCGGATGGCGATACTTTTTGACAAAACTGAACATACGAAGACAATCAACCAGAGAATATTGTTAGAAATTTTCTTATTGAATAATGCTCACCGCTCTTTCATTATTGCTGGTCTGCCAAGATAGGTGCATATGTAAACTCGGGCCTCAGCACCTTGTCGCACTCCTTCAGTCTGAATTTCGTAATCAAAACCGGCTTCGAACTGATCTTCAAAGTCCATTTTCTGGAGAACGATATTCATTAAACAACAACAGTAAAAAAAACAAAGGGAAATAACGACAAATAATTAGAATAAACATGTGATGATCAAAGCAAATAACAACAATGCAGAAATAGCAAATTTATCAAAAATGATAAAGAAAAAATGGCAAAATCACAGAAGTGCTAGAAGAAACGAAATCCCTTGAACATCTCAAACTTTACGGCGAAAAGGTACATATTTAGTCTACACATGCTCTGTTGGGCAATCAACTACAACAGTTATTCCTCTGTGGTACCGCGACAATACAATGACGAGACTCAAACGATAACTGAATAAAAGAGAGGAAAACGAAGGCAGTGATATTACCACAAGATTCAAAGCAGAACGCAGAATTGTCAGCGCTAACGTTTTTCTTCGTCAACATCCGAATCACTTTCACTGGGAGGTAAGTCAACTCCTCTATTTCGGGTCTCCTCTGCTTCTTTTTCTATTCGATTCAGATACTCGGTTTGCCTTTGAATGACCTCCTCAGGCGTACCACAACTCGCATAGTTGTCCAGCAGCTCGCGGTTCAAGTCGATGAAGTGTGGTCCCCAAGTGAACTGTTTCATTAATTCTTGAGCAGCCCGAGCATGACCGATAATATACAGACCTCAAGAAGAACAAAGTCAGTTTTCTGAAGCTCGTCTGAGATCATTGTCATGCTTTTACCTGCTGCTAAGGCCTCTGCGCAAGTGAGATGACATGGGCGCCCATAATTCACCGAATTAGCTGCCACCAAGTACGGCAGGAGACGATGCTCAGGTGCCTTCACCTGCAGATACCAGGTGGATCGTAAGTGGAATTAAGGTAAATCTCTCAGAATCATACTTCATATAATGACAAGATACCTTATGAAGTGGAGTTCGTTCAACCTCTTTCCAAGAGCAGTCAACCACTCCCAACCCATACTGTTCTATGAAGTCACGATCGGAAGGCGCTAACGTTGCCGTACCTGTAGGGCTCAGGACAAGTCCGGGGAAACGACTACCAAGCCGTACCTAGGACTCAACATACTATATGTTTCAGATTGATAAGCGACACGACAACGCACCAAATGAAGTTGCCTATGCAAGGTGCCTCTGAATGCATCATTCTGGACAAAAATCACACTCACTTCAGTAATTAATCCAGCTCGTAACAGCTTCCTTCCCGAACATCGTTTTGGATCACATTGGTTGAAATCATACATAGCCAACTTGCATGGCATTTCATATCTATCATCAGACTC